GGGGGGGGGGGGGGGGGGTTGACCCGGCTGATGTCCACACGAGTAAAAAGAGCGTGTGTAGGACTACAGCAAAATCCCGCAAAAATAAAATAAAGGGTCTTTTTTTGCAGGTAAGTTGTTGAGCCCATTTCAAGTTCTAAGTAAAAGCAGACCGTGCAGACATCATGGGTCACAAGCCAAGTTTTTCTTCCAAGACACACAGAGCGAGTATTGCCCTGGTGGATTTAAGGTGGAAAATCCCCCGGAATTTCCGACAATGTAGGCGCAGGCCTATCATTTCCGTCCATCTTTATAATCTTATAGTACCAACGTGCGTTAAATTATGACTGGGAAGAAAAAGAGAACTATAGATTTATTACTCATTACGGCCCTAGAGAAAAATGTCTGGAAAAGTGTGGACCTTTGAAAGAGGTCGTACGACCTTCCCGACCCCCCTTGCATACACCTCTGACTCTAGAATTTATTTCCTGAGACAAATGCGTAAGGCCGGTCTTGGTGTTACTGAATTAGTTCATTTTTATTGTAGTATTTTACGGCCAGCAGTTGAATATCCTGCGCCAGTGTGGGCTACGAATCTGACCCACGAACATATTACATCAGTTGAATACATACAGAAAGAGCATTTCAGATAATTCTCCCATGGTGTAACTATGATGAGGCTGCGCACGTTTGATTCTAAGTATTCGGCTGTTGGAGGACAGACGAACCCGATTGTGCAGGGAATACTTTCAAAAATTTAAAAATTCCCATCACAGATTATATGATTTACTCCCTTCATTACGTAATGTATCATATAACTTGAGGACAAGCACCGAATTTCCTTTACCCAAATGTGATACAAACAGATCAAAAAACGTTATCATTAATACCGGGTTGTTCAAAGTATGATAAGTACTCCCTCCACAGTCGGACGGACATTGTTTTCATATTTAATTTTAATGTTTAACGCTTTGCTGTTTTATTGTTAGATAATTAATTTTTTTTTATTGTTCAACTTCAATTTATTTACAAAGTAGATTGCAATAAAATTGTTCTCGTATCGTATACTGTACCACCTCAACACCACGGTTGGGGCTGAGGTAGGAAAAATTATGATTATGGCACCTCAGCAGATGCCGGAAATGGCACTCATATAGACAATTTTATTTTTATCTCAAAGCAATTTTTGAAAAATTAGGGGGACCCAGCTCGGCTGCCTCCTCCGCCTCTTTATTCTGTCACTTGATATAATATGATATAGGCCTATCCTGCCTGTTCCCTGATCCTATAGTCAATGTCTTTATGTATAAACAAATCTCTCTTGAGTCAGGTCCGGTGCTACACTGACGATCATGGGGGCCACTTGGGGCCCCTAGAAGTCGGGTGCCCAGGGGACTGCCACACGAGAGCGCATATGCGTTGTACACCACTAGTCCAAACAGTGGTCTCCCAAATCAGCATAATTGATGAGTGATCAATTCCAAAAAAACCCTAAAACCAAAGACCAAAACTGCAAATGGCACAAGAAATCGGTAATAATAATAATTATTATTATTATTATTATGTCATTGTTATTCACATTCTAAGTTTAAAGGAATACATATAATAAATAGAGAATGTTTAAATTCATTATAACTTTTTAGACTGTGTGTATAATTCAGTTTTTACAATATTGTTTTTTTAAACCACTGTGTCAGCATTATAAACAAAATTGTTGACTCACAATTACCGTTGTCTTCCATTTGCTAAGGTGTTTATTGTATAGTTCATTAGAATGTTGCAACACATTTAATAGGGCCTATTTTGCATTGGGATGTAACTTTGTATTGTGATGCATTACTTATTTTGCCTATAACACTGTTTTCGGAGAAATAATAATAATAATAATAATAATAATAATAATAATAATAATAATAATAATAATAATAATAATAATAATAATAATAATAATAATAATAATAATAATCTATTAGGCAGGGATGGCGCCATTATTTTCCTGACGGATGGGCTGATGTCCCTAACGAGAGCAAAGTGGGCGTGGTCGGGCGTCACTCAATATTATTTCAAAGTGATCGAGGGGGTGAAACCATGGAAAATATGACAAATTAGAGGTTTCAAAGGCTTATTTAATAGATTTTCTCCCCGACAAATTGTGGGCCCTTCCCCTCTCCCGCTGACGCCACCCCTGCTATTAGGAGAGAAGGAGTTACGTCAGTTCCGCCAAGGTGAATAGGTTTTTGCTGGGTATCTTTAACATAGCGATAATTATTATAATATGTCTGTGTGTAACTGGAAAATTAATTATCAACGATTTAAACTTTGCATCAATATGATGAAAAAACAAGTCACGATTTCGGAAAAGCGGATGCTCACTGATTTTACGCATGCGCAAGGCTTGAATCCTACAATAATCTCTGAACCATGTATTATAGGTGTTATCGCTGAGGAAGTGCACATGAGATATAATCGAATAATATACTTATATTTATAATGTCAACGTATACATTTCTACTTCGTGTAATCGTACTTAATCAAATGAATGCAGACAGTGGTGATCGCAAACATACACCGATTACATGAACGCAGACAGCAGGCCTAGTGGCATCAATTATCATTATCATGTAGACTTCAGGCATGTATACAACAACTTTTAAGAGATCACGAAAGAGTCTGCTTCAATAGTGTAATACACCATGACTGCCGTTTGGCTAAGCCCCGCGATGTAACTTTGTATTGTAATGCATTACTTATTTGGCTTATAACACTGTTTTCGGAGAAATAATAATAATAATAATAATAATAATAATCTATTAGGCAGGGATGGCGCCATTATTTTTCTGACGGGTGTGGGCCGATGTCCCCCACGAGGGCAAAGTGGGCGTGGTCTGGCGTCACTCAACATTATTTCAAAGTGATCGCGGGAGTTACGTCAGTTCCGCCAAGGTAAATACGTTTTTGCTGGGTATCTTTAACATAGCGATAATTATTATAATATGTCTGTGTGTAACTGGAAAATTAATTATCAACTATTTAAACTTTGCACCAATATGATGAAAAAACAAGTCACGATTTCGGAAAAGCGGATGCTCACTGATTTTACGCATGCGCAAGGCTTGAATCCTACAATAATCTCTGAACCATGTATTATAGGTGTTATCGCTGAGGAAGTGCACATGAGATATAATCGAATAATATACTTATATTTATAATGTCAACGTATACATTTCTACTTCGTGTAATCGTACTTAATCAAATGAATGCAGACAGTGGTGATCGCAAACATACACCGATCACATGAACGCAGACGGCAGGCCTAGTGGCATCAATTATCATTATCATGTAGACTTCAGGCATGTATACAACAACTTTTAAGAGATCACGAAAGAGTCTGCTTCAATAGTGTAATATACCATGACTGCCGTTTGGCTAAGCCCCGCCCTTCTTCCTAATGTACTTCTGATGGTCAGTTGTTAAGTTTTTGCAAAACATGCGCACATGATACGTTGGACGGAATGGCAGAAACCCGTACACTACAATATTTACATTCAATGTTTTATTCTTCAAGCAACATTCATCATGTCAGGAATGTTCGTAATGATTCGTATAATAATAGGCCTAATAATAATAATAATAATAATAATAATAATAATAATAATATAGACCTATAAAATGCATTAAATTGCATTCTCTAATTTCATTAATTAGAAACCAAACTATAAAAGTACGGTAATTTTATTCAAAATAAATATTTACGATTATTTTGAATTGAAAAAGTTCTGGTATTCAAGTTCATAATTTCCAATAACGAATAGTTTTTAAAACCTCAATATTCCTAATAGATAATTCTTACTGTATATTATGCCATTTTTTCATTACGTAAAGCTACTGTTCGTGCGATCTGTATCGTACTACATAGAGCAACAAATGACATGTTCATCTGAGCAAATTCCAAACACTTGTCTTGACGTATTTGCTTACTCAATTCGATTTCAAACAATTAAATCAATCAGCTATATATTCATCTTATTTTTAGGCCTACTGTTTCCTTATTTCAATTATAATTTAGGTGAAAACCTCCCCACCCCCTTCCCGTCCCCCACTTACATAGAAATCACGAGCTTCATAATAGCAGACATTTTTTAAGGGATGTGGCTACATAAAATGGATTTTCTTGGGTGTATGGTATTGTTTAATATGATTGACTGTATGCACTCTTGAGTCGGCTTGCCGGCATTGAACCACTTTATAATAAGTGTCACATACTGTTATTGTTATTGTTATTATTATTATTGTTGTTATTGTTATTATAATTATTATTGTTATTATTATAATTAGGCCTATCAATATTATTATTATTATTATTATTATTATTAATTATTATTATTATTATTATTATTATTATTATTATTATTATTATTATTATTTGTAATCAATCAAGACTTTCTCCGAAAATATCTACAGAACTACTTGCACATCTACAATCATCAAAAATGCAAAGTACATCCTTTGTTAGTTCATATCGTATACCATAAACCCAGTAAAGGTAAGAGGGTGGGTTGGATGACCATAGACCTGTCTACCTTCGTTCGTCAGCCAGACTTCATCGCCGACATTCAGTTGAACTGTTGCTCCAGAACTCAACTGATCACTGCCACCAGCGGTACTACGATGCACGGTTGTGATTGCTCGCCCATTTAACTTCATTTTAACATACGGAGCAATACCACCTTGCGACAAAAAACTAAACATGAAGTAATAGAAACCTGAAACTCTAGATGTAAACTTTCCGGTATTCTTATCGAAGTCTTCTCCGACATTAATTTCCATTGACGTGAATAGAATGATAGATTCTGAAGTGGGTACGGGAGTGGTGCGTACTGCAGTAAAGGCAGATTTACGGACTTCTGATGGTGATGAGGGTGATGATTCGCCCTTTTCTCCTTTTGATCCATTGTTCCCTTGTGGTCCTTGTGGTCCTATTTGTCCAAGCGGGCCTTGTTTACCTAAAGATCCTTCGCTTCCTTTATTACCTTTTGAACCTTCATTTCCCGGTTCTCCTTTTTCGCCTCTATCTCCTTTTTCACCTCGGACAAACTCACCTCTGTCACCCTTACTACCAGATGGTCCAGCTGGACCCAACCCTCCAGATGTTCCTGGAACTCCAGGAATCCCAGGTTGCCCAGGCAGCCCGTGGCAGCACATATTACAAGTTTCATGAACGTTTTTTTCAGGTGTTGTAGTCATAGACAAGCTTTCTGGTAGGCAAGTTAATAGACTGATCAAACTGATTAAGAGTGCACATGATGTCAAAGATGGATTCATTTGTTTTCTAAATATAAAAAAAACGAAAGAATTCTGTTCATTATTTGGAAATTACAACCCGGTTGGTTAAATCTATCCATGCAAAGTAAATTTTAAAATGAATTGAAATGAAAGTGGAAACATTCTCTTTTTACGCTACCACACCCACCACAATGTATAATTGTCAAATAAATTATTAACACACAATTTTATTTATATAGCGTTATACCGAAGTCTCTTAGAGCTCCAGACGTAAACGCGCATTTAAAGAGTAATCCTACCGGTATGTGTTCAAACCTTCGTGATATATTTGAAAGATTAATACTTTTCGATTTAAATGATTAACTTTATGAGGGCTACCATTTATCATTTACACAAATGTTCCCGGAGTGTGGTTCGTATTCATTAACTTTCACATAGGCCTATTGTACTATCTCAGCAAGCTAACAACCTAGAAATAATCTACTGTTTATACAGCGCAGCACATCACGAAAATATCTGACGGAGAACTTGCTGGCCCAAGCGGGACTATCATCAGTTTTTTTAACATGTAGAAGCTAATTTATGAAAGGAAATGTATCAAAATTTAAGGAAGAGTTGAGTTTCTTCATGACATTCTAGATTGTTGACTAGATTTTTCAGCCTTAACAAAATAAGGTATGACTAGCAGAACACTATCCCGGAACTACAATTCTATCAAAGATTTTTTTTTTAATGATTAAATGATATTTTCAACGAATAAATTATCCACTGTTTAAATGTGGTGTAATCATTCATGTTTCATAATTATTTTCGATTTCTCTACCAATAAAAAATATAATGGTTGTTCTTACCTTTTGTCACAACGATCTTCAAGAAATGACAAACAGCAATCGTCTGCCTTCTGAAATAAAGTCAGTCATATGTACCCATCTATTACAACGATTGCCATTGGTCAATAAATATAGCCTCTGTTGCTGAATAAAATCGTCTATTTTAAGGACTTGTGCTATACGGTATAATTTAGCTTTGACCAATTTTTTCATTTATTCAAACGAACTCACGGTAAACTTGCTCATTGCGTCATTGCATGTTATTTATTGTTATTCTTTGTAGAATAATAGAGCTTGAAGTTTTATAATTTTTGTTGTATAATTTCGATTTATCATATAATTATAATTAATGGCTCTCCCTTGCAACCGTGGAAAAGCCATATATTTGTTCTGATTTTTTTTTTCTTAAAATCGCCTTTTCCCTATGTTTTTGCACATGGTTTTCTGTCTGCACTTTCATTTCCATGCTTGGATCTTCTTCAAACGTTTTCCAAGTAAACACCATATCAAAAATGTGCATATTAACAAATGACGTAATTCTACATTATTTGAAATATTAATAATCTGGTAATTAATTTTTTGCGTTTTCATAAGTTTTTCAAACTAGCGGCAGCTATGCTTAACGCAACATTACCGTGATATGTATAAACCATTTTCACCCTCAACCTATGAAATTGCGCAAGATGAACTGAAATGCGCGGGGTCGGGCTATGTGCGATGGGCAGAACTCTCCACATTATTCCCGATACTACCCATTACAGCCCACGTTGGAGCCCCATTGACGTTAAGTTGGTTTCCATGTTTTCTTTTACTTCATAATCCTCTTCATGATTTTTTTGTTTGTCACGTATTTTTTACTTTATTACTTTGTTAATTATTCTCTTTTTACTTTAATTTGAACATCACATTATGGCAATGAGAAGAAGCCCTGTTTTGTTTTCACATACATTGTAAGTCTAATTTTTATATTATTCTGTACACCGATTTTTAGAACAGCTTTCTTATAGGCTTAGATTAAACATCCGTTGATATGATCTAGATAAAATCCCAGTCGTTACTTGTAGGCCTATATTTTAGTTGGGTATTTTGTCTTCCGTCTCAAGACGCTGATCGTGTCTTCGTTTGTTAATTTGTGTTAAAAAAACTAAAATGTCATTACATCCACATTCTATAACAAAAATCTACTAGACGATATACTTCTGCAGATGAATATGAGTTAATCTGACCAAAGTTCATCAACACGAGACGCAAAGATTTGCAGACGAGGGGGGAGGGGGTTGTCCCGGCTGATGTACACACGAGTAAAAAGAGCGCGTGTAGTCTATAGCAAAATCAAGCAAAAAATAAAATAAAGGGTCTTGTTTTTTTGCAGGTATTTGGCCAACGTGGTGTTACTGAATTACAGTACTGTAGTTCATTTTTATTGTAGTATTTTACGGCCAGCAGTTGGATATGCTTAGCCAGTCTGGGCTACGAATCTGACCCGCGAACAAATTACATCAGTTGAAGACATACAGAAAGGGCATTTCAGATCATTCTCTAATGGTGTAATTATGATGAGACACGTTTGATTCTAAGTATTCCTGTTGGAGGACAGACGAACCCGACTGTGCAGGGAATGCTTCAAAAAATTTAAAAATTCCAATCACAGATTAAATGATTTACTCCCTTCATTACGTAATGTATCACATAACTTGAGGACAACCACCGAATTTAATCTACCCAAATGTGATATTAACACATCAAAAAACTTTAATACCGAGTTGTTCAAAGGATGCAAAGTACGCCCTGCATAGTCGGACGACATTGTTTTTATATTTAATTTTAATGTTTAACGCTTTGCTGTTTAATTGTTAGATAATTAATTTTTTGATTGTTCAACTTCAATTTATTTACAAAGTAGATTGCAATAAAATTGTTCTCGTATTGTATACCACCTCAACACCACGGTTGGGGCTGAGGTAGGAAAAATTATGATTATGGCACTTCAGCAGATGCCGGAAATGGCACTCATATAGACAATTTTATTTTTATCTAAAAATAATTTTGAAAAATTTAGGGGGACCCGGCTCGGCTGCCTCCTCCTCTTCTTTATTTTTGTCACTTGATATAATATGATATAGGCCTATCCTACCAGTTCCCTGATCCTATAGTCAATGTCTTTATGTATAAACAAATCTCTCTTGTGTCAGGTCTGGTGCTACACTGACGATTATGGGGAGGGACCACATGGGGCCCCTAGAAGTCGGGTGCCCAGGGACTGCCACACGAGAGCGCATAGGCGTTGTACACCAATAGTCCAAACAGTGGTCTCCCAAATCAGCATAATTGCTGAGTGATCAATTCCAAAAAACCCTAAAAACCAAAGAACAAAAAACTGCAAATGGCACGTGAAATCGGTTACTGATATATTGTGTTTTTTTAAAAATAATAATATTAATATTATTATTATTATTATTATTATTATTATTATTATTATTATTATTGTTGTTGTTGTTGTTAATGTTATTACTATTATTATTTGTTATTATTATTTATTATTATTATTATATCATTGTTATTCACATTCTAAGTTAAAGGAATACATACAATAAATAGAGAATGTTTAAATTCATTATAAATGTTTAGACCGTGTGTATAATTCAGTTTTTACTATATTATTTTTTTAAACCCACTGTGTGAGCATTATAAACAAAATTGTTGACTCACAATTGTCATTGTCTTCAATTTGCTAAGGTTTTTATTGTATAGTTCATCAGAATGTTGCAACACATTTAATAGAGCCTATTTTGCATTGGCATATAACCTTGTATTGTAATGCATTATTTGTTATTTAGTTTATTATTTATTTGGCCTATATACAGTTTTCAGAGAATTATTAATAATAATAATCTATTAGGCAGGGATGGCGCCAGTTTTTTTACCGATGGGGGTGGGGGTCCGAGGTCCGCGACGGGTGGGCCGATGTCTCCGACGAGAGCAAAGTGGGCGTGGTCGGGCGTCACTCATTACTATTTCAAAGTGATCGAGGGGGTGAAACCATGGAAAATGTGACAAATTTCAAAAGGTTTCAAAAGCTTATTTAATGGATTTTCTCCCCGACAAATTGTGTGTTTTTTTTTCTCCCCTACAAATTGTGGGGCCCTTCCCCTCTCCCGCTGACGCCACCCCTGCTATTAGAAGAGAAGGTGTTACGTCGGTTCCGCCAAGGTGAATAATTTGAAAAAGTTTTTGCTGGGTATCTTTAACATAGCGATAATTATTATAATATGTCTGTGTTTAACTGGAAAATTAATTATCAACGATTTAAACTTTGCACCAATATGATGAAAAAACAAGTCACGATTTCGGAAAAGCGGATGCTCACTGATTTTACGCAT